GTCATACTAACTTCAAAAGTAAAGTCTCCAAGTATGTTAGATTCAGAAAAGGTACACATTAATTTAGCATTTTGTATTCAGTTTCTAAACACGGGGCCTGCCCTTTTATAAGAAAGGAACACTTGTGGCATCGGCGGTTAGGGTTTAGGCTGTTTACTTCAAGGTTGGTGGCTCAAACCCACCATTGTTCTCCAAGAGACGGATGAGGCTGTCTGCTCCCATAAAGATTTAGAGTTGTGGAAGCTCCTTATAGGGTGCTATGAGTAGGAATAGGATTTTTGGCTAACTTTAATTCAATATGGAGATTCATTTACTAATATAACCACACCAAACTCACTGCCAATGAGTCAGTACTGGCACATAACAAACCGTATAGAACAAGGTTGACCGTCCCCTTGGATTCCAAGACTGTAACTGTTTATGGGAGTAGAAAGCCCCCTCTTTCTACTTTATGAACAATAAATAATAATACAAATAATAATAGGAATGGAAATGCCTAGTTCCCGTTGAGCTGATTCTGGTTCATGTGTATCAGAGAAGAACGATGCCCCGTGGGGTTTGCAGAGGCTGATTTTTTTCGGAAGCAGCTCACGAGGCCTTTCTTCTGTGGCAACTCTGGGTGGAAGTAAACCTCCAACTTTTGGTTGAACAGCCCAGTGCATTGCATTGGCCATTCGCCCCACTCACAGGCTGCAGCAGTAGGAAAGGCTTACACTTACTAGCATACACTATGGGCTGGGCCCTGACTTAAGTACTTCATAATGTATTTTAATTGCTTCATTTCCTCAAAAGAAGATGGTAAGGACCTAGAGCAGATGAATAATCTCAAAGAATCTATAATTCTCTTAAAGAGATATTATATTTCCTTATCATGACAAACCATAATAATTTAATTAAGCAACACCAGACAAACCCTACTTTAATCCTTCATCCTATCAGTGAATTATGGTTTGGGAAACTGAAATACCCTTATCATTATTATTTTAACCGATAACTTAAAAAAATACCAGAGGAGTTCATTCTGGGAAGAGCTATATATATCGTTTTAGGAATGCCACTTTCAGCCGAGTTTCCTCTTTATACCACCCTGATGGTATAACCTCAAACCAAGTTCACTGTCACTCAGGCATTCCAATCATGGCTGCCCTGTGAGACCATGTAGACTACCCCATAGGTTTCCAAGACTGCAAATCATGATGGGCAAATCCGGTCTCATTTTCCTATGGAGCACTTGGTAGATTCTGCAAGTATAGAGATTATTATTCAAGTTAGTATACCCTTGAAGAATTAATTGGAAGTGTTATAAGAAAATTCCACAGGGTTCAATATGGTGACCATTCATAGAACACATCAAGTCAGTCTGACACTAACCCCAGATCGGCACTACTGAGACAGCGACGGGTCGGCAGGCGTCTCCTCCTGACACCTTGTCAGCTTTCTGTCCACATGAGTCAGGTGGGACAGTGATTCCTAGTTGGTTTTTTCTAACGTACCCTAAGGAGACATGACATAAACACTAACCTAGTTCTCATGTTCACGCATGTGTAAAATGACTAGTGAAATAAAAGGAAATCAATGATCAGACAAGCGACTATAAAAAAATTTAATATAGAATGATTATTAAAAATCACCTCATGAGAAGAAAGTGTTGCTTTTTAAAGGGTGCAGTCAAAAAAGAAATAATTTTTTAAAAGGGTGCAGTCATGCTTGATGACACTCATCGTAGAGAATCGAAGCAAATACAAAGACTTCCTTTTTTGAAAACGTCATTTCCTCGGCAGAGGTTTCAATATATTATATATTTAAATTAAAATATTTAATCCCAACTTTGGCAGATCAGATACTGAGTCTTCAGGTCAGATGGCGGGAGTGAGTTCTCGCATGGAGCCTTGCAAAGGCTAATATTTAAGTTGTAAAGATACCTAGTAGGGATATTTGCCGAGCTCCTTGCATGTTTTATTGTTCAAGAGGCTTACAATAGCAATCACAGGCAGATTTCCTTTAAAGAGGGATTTAGTATACTAGAAAGCCTCATGAATCCCCGGGCTTCAGTCATGGTCTACTACTTCTCTGCTTGTCTCTGGACACCTGTATCATTCGCTTTCGCCCTTCCCCTCCTCCGCCCTCAGTACAAGGAGCCGGGGTGGCTCTGTGTTTAAGGGCTTTGTTACCGACTGACACGTAGGTGGTTGAGCTCACCACGCACTCCTTGGGAGAAAGATGAGGCAGTCCGCTTTCATAAAGAGTTCTGTTTTGCAGTTATGCTTGGTCCTAAAGGACTGTCTCTGAGTTGGCATAGATTCAGCTGGCAGCAGGATTGGGTGCTCAATTTTCCCATCTGTGAAATGAAGGAACTGGACGAGTTGACCTTGCAAGGAATACAAAGCACACAGTCTGTGCAAAAATTCTGCCGGTTCTTGAGCATTCTTTTTCTAGAACGCTCTGTGAAAATAGGAAAGTTTGAGTGAATTTTTGTTGATTTTTCACATGCCAGTATTTCATCTCATTTATATTTTATTGTTCTATTTTTCAAAACTCAGTGAGAAACTCTAGTTTTGAATTCATCACTGGACCTAATCAATAGAAACTTAATCAGTGACTTCAAGTGGTCCTCTCTTGGTAACAGAGCTCAGCATTCAGGTCACACGATTCCTGAGAGAGTAATCAGCACTCTTATGGGATTGGGACGCAATTAATGTTAGGGCTGATTTTGGGCATTGAGTCACCCTACCCTTACTCATTTGAATTGTGACACAAATCTACATTTGTGTATACTGTGTGTGTTTCTATTCGCAAGACAAGGATCCGTAGGGGCACATGTTAGTGTCTTTGAGATAACCCATCAGAGCTGTAGAACGGTAGAGTGTTATCATATAGAACAAGGTACAAATGTCAGGTCTGCCATTTGTTAATTGCACATGCCATTTAAATTCTTGGAGTCTCAGTTTGACTTGACCTCTGTCACGATGATGAGAGTATTTAATTAATAGTTTGTGAGGATTAAATGAGCAGATAAAGTGCTTAGACTAAAGTTCATGCATCATAAGTGGCAAGTATTATCATTTCAAAGATTTGGTTGGGGATATTGATAACAGTAAATAAATATTAGTCTGCTTATATTTATCAGCGTATACAGATATTGAGGGGTGTATTGTATTAGGGCCCAAACACAATATACCTATTAATTGGCTCTCTTTTATCAACTAGAAGGTTGTACAGACAACAGAGAAAATGTATGGTTTATGAAAATACAGGGAACCCAGGGTGGATGAGCCCTACAGGACCAGTGGTGTGAGTGGTGAAACAGGGAGCGTAGAGGGAGAGTGGGTAGGAAAGAGGGAACCGATTACAAGGAACTATAGGTGACCTCCTCCCTGGGGGACGGACAACCGAAAAGTGGGTGAAGGGAGATGTCGGACAGGGCAAGATATGACAAAATAACAATTTATAAATTATCAAGGGCCCATGAGGGAGGGGGAAGCAGAGAGGGAGGGGAAAAATGAGGACCTAATGCCGGGGGTTTTAAGTGGAGAGAAAATGTTTTGAGAATGATGAGGGCAATGAATGTACAAATGCGCTTTACACAATTGATGAGTGTATGGATTGTGATAAGAGTTGTATGAGCCCCTAATAAAATGATTAAAAAAAAAAAAGAATATCAAGTGGTGGGGGGGTAGTAGGGGGGAAAATAGGAGCTGATGCCAGGGGCTTGGGTGGAGAGCAAATGTTTTGAGAATGATGAGAGCAAGGGATGTACAGATGTGCTTGACACAATTGATGTATGTATGGATTGTGATAAGAGTTGTATGAGCCCCCAATAAAATGATTTTAAAAAAAGAAAAAAAAGTTTTTATAAGATATAGGTAATGACATAGTAGAATGTTTAACATAGATGGGCTGAGGTCAACATTGTCTATGACTGATTTTTATTATTATTTTTTAACTTTCACATTAGACTTAGCACCAAGTTTGAAACATTATAATCATCATAGATTAGCTATATTAGTAATGAGTTACTTATGGTAGCATGAACACTTAATATTTAGAATATTATAATCATTGTATAAGAAGGAAAATTCACTTTGGAAAATACCATAAACTAAAATTCTTCGAATTAGCTCTGGATGATGAAAAGCCCCTTTAACTTTTTTATGAAAGGAAATGTTTACTTTTATACAAACGAAATTTTATTTTTACTTTAAAATGATATAAACAGACCATTGTTTGATGCATCATAAACACCTTCTCCAAGTAAAAGGCACACTCAAAGTATCTTTGAGAAAGCATGCAGCGGTCGTGCGGCTCATGGAAATGGAAATCAGGCAGTCTGGGTGGAACTTCAACAAGGCTCACAGTTGATCTCTGCTGTTGAGTCTCCGTGTCTTTTATCAATTCTTCAGAGGCAAGGCTTCTACTTAGAGTTGTGTAGTTTGATTCAAGCACTTAATTCTGAGTTGGGTTTCATTTATTGGTTGTTTTTGCTTTTGCCTTTCTCTTCCAGGATTAACCCATGCCTTGACTTCAGGACTCTGGATTGGACTTAACAGCCTGAGTTTCAACACCGGCTGGCAGTGGAGTAATCGCAGTCCATTCCGGTATTTGAACTGGCTACCAGGTAGGGGTGAGCTCTTCCGTGACTGAATGAATGCAGTGTAGTTCAGTTGACCATCCGGGAGGTTTCTGGGATCTCAGATCTAGATCTCGAGGAGGAGAATTGGAGATATCATCAAATATGGTTTCCTTTCCCCCTTGATGCCCCCCCCCAACTTTTTTTGAGGCGGGGAGGGCATCGAGTGCTCTGAACTCTTTCTAAATTGTCATCAGATACCACGAAGGTCTTATCCAAGAAGACACTGTAAGTCTTCCTTAAAGCAATTCATCAGAGGAAACAAACAGCCAATGATGGTGAACATTTTCACCAGGGTGAATCGCTCCTTTGGGTTCTCTGCTGTGGATAAGACACCCCTCACCTCCAATTTTGACTTAAGAGGAAAAAGTGAAATTAACCACAGTTACTCATGTCTGCTGTGCATTATGTATTTATTTGGCCATTGCGTATGAACAATTATGATAATACTGTTCTTTCATATGGCCAGACTTCCTTTTGAAAACCATAGAATTTTTTCCCTTTTACTTGCAATCTCTGCATATATGTGCATGCTGTTTAAAGATCTGAGGATATAATATTTAGAATAGATATTAAAACATGGGAGAGCATTTTAAGGGACTCCATTTGGTTTAAATGGAGTAGATTTTCTGTGAAATTCCACTTTCAATGTATTCCTTCTATGCATGACAGTTGCATTGCTGCTACCAGAGTGTTACAATAGTAAACATTTCTATTTCCCTTTATAATGTGGGGCGTAAAGATTGCCGCAAGGGAATATGTGATGTTCTTTTTATGGGTGGGACTGTCATTTGTCTGTCTACTGTAAATGTGCAATGCGATATTGAAATGAAATTGAAGACCACCAGGTGGGTTCAATCAGTCAGTGAAATAACAATAGTCTAGAGTTTCTTCTCTGTTGCTAAAGATTTATAAACTACTAGGAAGATTAGTTAATTCCTCACTCAAAAAGACTTTGGTATCAGACCATGCGCAGTCTGACAGTCCAGCGAGAAAATTTGAGAGCTTGGTATGAAGGTAAGGAATGAGATTGGAATGTTAACAAGAAAGGAAAAGAATAAAGGCCCTTCCTGATTAGAGTTCCCAGGGAGCCTGTGCAAGATTAAATTATCTTTGGAAGTAGAATGAGAACTTCTTCAATCTAATATTCTAAATCATTTGGAATATTAGAGATCTAGTCAAGCACTCAACTGATTGCTTAACAATGGTGCATCTATGAACATTCATTCTCATTTGGAGAGAAGGTTTTATGTGCATGATGCAGACTGCAAAATCAAATTACCGACACAATGGTAAGCACTTACAATGAGCACCACTGACATGTTCAAGTTGGTAGTTGTTTTCTATTGTTAATTCAATAAATGAGGCAGTAAATACATTAATAGCTGAGATGTAAATGTATGCCTATTTCTGGGCATTTGCTTTCTGGTACTGCTTTCCATATCTGCAAGTTCCCTTACCCTGATCAGTGTTTGTTCACCACTCCAGAATGTGTGAATAAACATGTTCTAAAAACCTTCTTACCCTCAGGACTAACAATTCCTTTTCTTTGTGTGCTGTTTCAATGACCTTCCAAAATTCCCGATTAAAAACTCTATGGAGCAGGTAATATGGCTTTAATTTTTCACAGAGTTAATGGGAAGTTCAGGCACAGGTTCCCTAGATGTTGAAAATCACCAGGGAGGCTTACCAAGAGACTCACTCGCCCTGCCGGTCTTCAGGTGTGGGCTGAGGCGAGGTTTTAGAACGCTGGGCTTAAAAGGATGTCTCAGTAGAGGAAGGAGCCTCATGATAGAATGCTTAAATGATTGGCAGCTAACCTAGCGTTTGGTGATTGGGACCCACCGAGTAACTGCACAGGAGAAAGACCTACAGATCGACTCCTCTAAAGATAACAGCCGGTCCTACTCTGTCCGAGGGGGGTTGCTAGGAGCCCGGATCAAATCAATGGCACCCATCAGCAGTATCATCAGATTGTTGCAAAGCAAGGGAGCTGTGATAACAGTATGGTATCAAAGATGACTCTGTTTGAGTCTTTACTTCATTTTCAGTAAGAAATGGGTTAGGGGTTTAGCCATTAAAAATACTCTTCAGTAGGGGGAATTGAAACCATTATTCTGAAAAGAGTTCTTCGTTCTGGGAACCAGGCTTATCACGTAGTGCGTGGGATGAGGATGCTTCCAGTGCCTCTTCTCCTTTGTTTTTCTTTTCTGACTCCGTCAGTGGGGAATGTTGTCCCATGCCAAGAGATTCTGTAGCTTGCTGTCCATAGTTGGCTGCCGTGCCCAGGTGTTCATTATGTACAGTGTCTCAGGTGGCTGGTTTATAACAGCATGTCCTCTTTGGGTTAGAGGACACCTGACATAACCCAGTGTGAAGATGGTTCAAGTTTCAAAGCCTTCTTTTTTAATAGATACTGTGGTGGGGAAAATTAGAAAATTATACTGTGTAACAAACTTCTAGACATTGAGCTGATCCAATACCAAGTAAGAGAAGAAAGGGACACCATCTCGTATGTTGCTGTTCATCCGAGACACACACACACACACACACACACACACACTGACTCTGTAG